CTTACCATTTTTCAAGGATTACCGCAATGATCAAATAGAACATACTACGTTTAGTTAGAAGTTTGCTAGTATTGTGCAGAGCTTGGATCCTTTGCAGGTGATTGGGGGACTCATATACAAGGACATTACACTTCAGGATGGTGACATGAGCAGCTAAGTATTGCATCTTTAGGGATTCTAAGTTACTTGGGATATATATGTGGGTTTGTTACAAGTTTGAGTACTGGCAATGGAGAAATAAATGGAGAAATTCCAGAGATTAAGAGAAAGCATATTGTACCAAGGTCCATTTAGGAAATTTATTTTACAAGGTTTAAGGCAAAGAGTAACCAGAACATAGTGGGCTTAGTAAGAAGTATTGACCTTATATGCAATGAGGTTTGCTTAAGCGTTTGATTTGAGTATTCGTGTCGGTGACAAGTTGAACAAAGTATATGGGACATCTTATTGGATTCCAAAATTTTGTTTGACTCTAATTAGTGTAGGTGAGTGACTTGGAATCTATTTGGACTCTTAACACAGATATATCTCATTTCTGTTCTATTTTTGTTGAATCCAATTTGTCCTGATGCTTATATTGAGATTCTGAAAAGAGAAACTAAGGACTTACCTGACTTGTCAGAGATTTTAAAATTGGCTGCAGAAAATTTCTTTAAAATTGGACTCTTCCTGATTTGAACTTTGATTCTTCACTTGTGACAATATGCATGACCAACCTTCTTCGGTTTGATAAAATACCATTGGCCATTTGAGGATCTAATGTTTAACTGTAGAAGGTTGAGTCATCCCCTATGACACAACATAACTTGCTCAGTACGAACTCCCTTGTCTGGTTCCCCAACTTCACTTTCATCGTCTTTGTTTTCCTTTTTCCAATTGTTGGTTTTAACAGTACACAGTTTTCCGTTCAACAGGGGGAGAAAGGTCTCTCCAAAGAAAATAGAGCAGCCCTTTTGGGTAAACTTTCTATTCTTGATTGCATCTGATTAGATTGACGTGAAAGTAAGTATATCTACTTGTTTGTATTGTTCTTAGATGGTTGGTTTTCTTTTTATTCTGCAGTTACCTTTCTCTGCAAGAGTAAAAAATCTCCAGTTAGTCTTTCTCTGCACTGGTTCTGTGATATTGCTCTAAGCTTGGATTTTTTATCTTCCAATACTAATCGCAAATACAAATATTTATTCTTCCTCTGCTGCTGAAAGCATGCAGCTACAAACGGTTAGTTCTCCTAAGGTGCGACGAGGTACTTTTACCAAAATAGTAAAAGTTTGAACCACTTTATCGTACAAAATAGTAAAGAATCCTGCAAAAAGCAATTATGTGATGGCTGGTCCTTACTGATTTAAGTATAAGACTAGGTGGACCTACTGAGCAAATATGGAAAGAGGCTCAATTCCATGAACGATTACGGTGAATACAGATTGTAATTTTGTTCATCAACACGAACGATGTGAGCTTGGGTTAGCTCAAACAGGGCTCATAACTCAAAATCTTGTCGCGAGTCAAGAATGAGCAACACATTCCTGAGTCTTGTTGAGCTAAGTTTGGATTCAAGAATATGATCTACTGTATGAGATGAATTCCAGCCTATGTTACATGGACCTGGGGGGTGCAAGAGTCCATTATAGGTGCACGTATTGCATCTATATCGAAGTGTCTGATCCTAGTATTTGAAAATGATGGGATCTAGGGATATGTGTTCAAATTCAGATATGGGTGGAGGGATTCATTTCTTATACTCATAGGTGCACCTATGAGTATATTTAAAAACAAATCATTCTAAAATTTATCCACAATCATATTTGAAACTTGTGCTAATAAAAAGATCAGTTAAATGTGCAGTTAGGTTGAAATAAGGACGTCTGTGCATTTATATATAGAGTGTGTACATCTGATTTAGTATCATCGTCCACAAACTGCAATTTAAGTAGTACTTTCAGAAATGCAGTACCCGTGAGTCTTGTTTTGGGCTTCTGCTCTCACAGTCGAAGCTAGGCCATTCATATATATAACAACAACTTTATATAAATCCCAAAAACTCATCTTATTTAATTGCAGCTGATCATGTCTCACCAGGTAACATTAAAATGAAAACTAGAATTAACCAGGCACGATTCAGTTGTGGATTCCACTTCAAGAACAATCTAAGAGCAGGATATTTGACTGCTAATGGGTTTAAAGGGGTATTGATTATCGGCTGCATAATTGAAACTGAAATTGCCGTGTGTAACGCCGTAATAGATCGGCTGGCCACCGTTAATGAGGCAAGAGTTGCCGCCGTTTTGGGACAGGACAGCGGGATTAATCTTTTCAACGCTTTGAAAGCCGGAGCAAGACAACTTGACCTGGGTTTGAGTGCAAGTACAATCATTAAAGATGGTGAGTTTGAACTCCGGTTTGGATTGTACCTTTGCCCCTGTTGGAGCCTGCAATATGATCAGACTTGATAGAGAGCATCCCTGGGCATTTGCAGTGCCTGCAAGTTAAAATAAATTACTACTACGAATTAACAACATAACATATATTATTTATTAATTCCAAAGAAAAACACATTATACACATACATATAACTAATGCATATATATATATATATATATGTATGTATATAGTAAGCCAAATACATGCATTGTATGTCAAAAGCAGACCAGCCAAAAGTTTTGAAGTTGATAACACTACTATTTTATCTTTCACTTGAAAAAAAAAAGAAGATGTTTTCAAGTATAGATTTTAAAGAAAATTTATCAATACACATCTCTAATTTCTTTTTTTTTTTCCCAAAAACACAGCGTGCACACACGTATATGTATATGTATATGTATATTTTCTACGATTCTTTTCGAAATCTGCTGCAGTGGATATAATGATGCATTTAGAAACTATACCTGCGCTTAATAGACCAAGAAAGAGAGGCAAGCAAAGGATCTTGAAAATGGCTGCCATCTTCTTTGTTCTTGTCTCTTTACAATGATTCTAAATCTCAAAGTGTGCTACTTTTACCTGCATATGCATAAGAGAACTTGGGAATTTATATATGCAAGACTTTCATATATATATATATATGGAAAAATGAGCATTGGAGGGTAAGAATTAATATGCATGCGAAGGGGAATCCATATATATGAGATGGTCTATTGACAGTCGACCAGCTTCAAAGGTTTTTGTCTAGTTATCAACGAAACAATTAAGACGCCAAAGATTTTTGCTAAAAAAACAAAGAAAGAATTTCTCCATGCATATAAACCCGATTATATTTCATTAAATTAGAGATTTTATTAAATCAGCGGTGCATTTGACACATTGCATCCAGCTGCATATCCCAATTATTTTTCTTTCTAAAGAAAAATAAACCTGATATTATTTTTTCTTAAAGAAAGCACTCGTTAAGGGAGGCACTAGGTGATCGACTTTTTTTCTTAGTGTGATAAAGTGACTAAATACAGATAGTGGAATTAATGTGATTGCGTGCATTTATATAGCAAATTAGATACAATTGTCAAAAAAAAATCCATTAAAAGATGGAGAATTATTAATGTACTTTTGATTGACATCCCAAAATTCCACTTATTGTGATTTCATATCATTTCTATTTGAAATGTACCAGATTGAGTTGTTTTAAATGTTAAAAGAAGATTCTCATTAGCATATTGATTCCCTTGATTTCTTTATTTAAAAGGCAATCACTTTCGATTTATATTTGATTCTCATTAATTTATTTCCCGCAATGATTTGTATGCCCATTTACAGATCTCTTTTCATTTCCCAACTTTTCCTTACATTCTGGCCTAAGTTCTCCCAAACTGCAAGCCTAGCCATATTTCAGACCGGACATTTTTTGCCATCACAAAACGAGGTGTTTTTGGCCCACCACTTTTTTAAATCGGCCTTTACAACACCCGGCTCCGTCTTAACAAGCCCAAAATCCATCCAGAACTACCCATTTGTTGCTGTCGCAATAGATGAATAACCTACCCATTCTTTTTCTTTAGTCAATCCTAGGATTCTGCTATAGTTATGAAATTTATCTTTATGTCATCTTATTTTGTTGCCCATTAGGGCCATTGGAATTAAGGATGTTGATGTTGATCAAATTAAGCATTCTTATCATATGGATTAGAATCAATAAAAAAAAAGTTGTTAGGAATGAGTAGTAGTATAATAATGGAACCATCCACCGTGGGGAAGGAACCTGCAGCCTAGACAGGTGGATAATGGTAATAGTAATACCCACACATTGCCTTCCTTGGTAAGAAATTTGGTTAGGAACTCAAATGCGTAGCAGGTACCTGATTTCATTGACTGATTGATTGAACCCGAATCAATGACTACACGTTCTCTAATCATTTACCATACCATACCCTACATGCTCTCAGGGTCGGCTCGGCTGGTACTGGGGTTGCCTCATTAGGTCCCAGGCCGTATGGTTAGAGTTCGACTCCTTCTACCGTCTCAAGTCTCTTGGGAAGCGGCGACTTGGGCACAGTAGGACTAGTTGGGCCGAAAGCCCGAACATCCATTGTGTTGACAAAAAAAGAAATATCATACCCTACCAATTAGTGAGGGATCGAAATATTCATTTTTTAAAATGTGAGGGATGGAGAAATTCATTTTGTGAAATGTGAGGGACGAAAAAATTATTTTATAAAATGTGAGGGACGAAAAAATTTATTTTATAAAATGTGGAGGACTATAAATCAGATTATGTAAAATATAATTTGACAAGTTTACTCTTAAAAAATGATCACGTGCCTTGCACGTGATGGATTCCGGCCAAAAAATGATCGGAAACCTAGTTAGGGACTAAATTTGACCGATATAAATATGTAAGGGACATAAAATTACACTTTTAAGAATGAAAGACGAAAAAATTATTTTACAAAATGTGAGGGACGTTTTGGACGATTTTCCCATTATTAAAACATAAAGTTGCTATTTGGATAAACAATTTAAAAACAAAAAGAGAGAGAGAGAGAGAGAAGTTCGGGTAGAAATTGAATTTCTAATTAGAAGAACAATATCCAGGTAATTAAACCTCGTCATTTATGCTGATATGCATCCTACATGAATGTACAAGCTTTCTATAGAAAGAAAATAAGAAGATTAAATTTTTTACCAAAAAAATGAAGAACAAGAACGTAATTCCACAATGGACTGGTATACAAGGGCTCTTCCGGAGTAGATCCATCCACATCCACCCAACGGAAAACACCATCTAACATCATGAGTAGTGCTAGCAAATTTGTACTCAAGCTTGCCATTTCTCTTTGTTTCCTTGCTCAATTACGTCTGCAGGTTTCTTGCTCCATTGAATTTGAGGGTGATGGTTCATACAAGCAAGTGTTCCTCCACATCAACAATTCCCTCACAAATGACTCCCCTGCATTAGTTGTTCATTGTCAATCATCCAAAGGTCTTGATTTCGGCAACGTATCGCTTCCAGTTAGAAGCGAATTTAACACCGTCTTTCTTGCAGATTCGACCGGACAGCCTACCTACTCTTGCCACTTTTGGTGGGATCCCAAACAACAAGAGTTCAACGCCTATGATAAAGACGTAGATGGGCACTGTCTGAGTGCAGCTGAAGCTGGACCTGCACAAGAAGTTCCGACCATTTCATGTTACTGGCACGTACAGACGGACGGTTTTTACCTTGGTACTAAGGATACATCAGATGAAAAGTTTCATGATTGGTGATCCTGTCCCGAGTAAATGATTAGTCAAAGAGGGGAAACATAGGCCTGGTGATTATTAAGGCATTAAGATTCTCCTTTGCTGGATGTAAACCAATGGATAAATTAAGAATGATTGCCATTGCCTTCACAACATAAATTTCAGGATGGCCCTATTAAGATTAATGCTTTGACTAAAAGAATACACCTCTTTTTCTAGATTAATCATGTCCTTGCTAATTCTCCTCGCAAAGTAACTACAGGTCCCTGCAAAAGGCTCTCCCTTTACTTATTTATTTGAGCCCTACCATAAACTATACCACAAAACAAGAGTTACCACCACATAGTTAGCCAGATGATGACATACCAGGACTGAATAATGATAGTACAGACCAACTGTACTTACAATATTTTGCTACAAGTAAACAAAAATGGTGACGATTCAATTAAATTCAAGTGGACATTCATTTATGCTCTTATGAGTTCGTATATGAATCCAACTTGCAGAACCAATTTTTTTTTTTTCATAATATACTCAACGAGTTGTCCAGTGTCCAGCAGCAATCTTTGAAACAGTCCTTCCAGATTTTGTCAAAAGCCTTTGCTTAGAGGTCCGTATTTTACTTTTTCTAAGCATGTATTGACTTTCCAGACATCATCGATTAGATACTGTAAATCTTAAGTTAGAATGTTCATCAAAGCACTTTCTAGGGTTGTATACTTTGAAGGACTCAGCTTACAAGAACTTCTGATCCAAAGAAAACAACTCAAGCTTCAGACTTTAAGCTCCTTTCCGCATTGATAATATAGACAAATAGATAAAATTAACACCTTACAACAGTTCTGAAAACTACAGCTGAGTGATCTCTTCAAAACATAAGTGCTCTCTGCTTTAAATCCACAAATGAAAAGTTGGGTGAAGAGTTAGCGTTTCAGAGATGAGCATAAATCAACTATATGTCCAAAAGTCGGACGTTGATAGATGACTATTAACTGGTGCACTGAACATGGCCAAGATTAAACTAAAGCTAACACCAAACAGACATAAAGAAGTAAAAGCTCAAAGAAGAGTATATGGAGCATCATTCTAGTGATGTATTATTGAAATAAATATTGAATTTGAGCTTACAGGGTGTAAAGCTAATACCAAACAGACATAAACAAGTAAAAGCTCAATGAAGAAGAGTATAAGGAGCTTCACTCTTGTAATGTATTATTGAAATCAATATTGAATTTGAGTTTTACAGAGTGTAAGCTTTGTGGCTGATGCATGGAGATTATGCATACAGGATCAGAATATCTACTCTGTGCCATGAAATGAATCTCAGAGCTTAGTTGCCGTGCTTTCTGAATACAGGTAATGACTATACAAAAAGCAAGTTTTAGGAGATCAGTTGTATTGGGATCTCAGCAACTTCAGTGTACCAAGATTTCCAAGCTTCCACATAATGTGCAAAAAGATCTCTCAAAGCTGAAACATCAGAAGCACCAAAATTCTATTAGTAATGAATCACATCAGGCTCCTTTAGGGTTCAATGGACAAAAGGTATATACCTACCATCATCAAGTTATTCAGATCCTATCATTTTTTAATTGAAATCTGATCGACAATATGATGGCTGTATAGAAAACTGGTAAACGGACAATCTCAAAAATTGAAATTTATGACTGAGTGCATGATAGTTCTTTTTTTTTTGGGCAAGTATGAGGTCTTGAACCCAGGATCTCCTACTTATAATCCCTCCTACTTGAAGAAGAGGATGTAATCACAAAATGGACAGGTAGCTTAACACAAGGCAATAGACTATAGGAAGTAACAATCATTGTAAAACGTAATCTGTATGTCGAGAAGTATCAATGTAAGAATAACATCTAAGTAATCACCTAAGCATAGAATTCTAGTCGAAACATGCAACTATCCAACACACCAAACAGCACAAAATGGAGAAACTGGAAAAGAGAAAAACTGCACATTTAAAACTGTTACTGGAATGCCTCATTTATAGGTTTCCTGAAGGCTTATACGGTCAAATGTACTTTATTGTGTAATCAAGCATAATACCTTGATTATGGTACTGAGGGCGATAAGTAGCTGCTAGACTTTCCCAATCATGACTCTGTGTTTCTTTGTTATCCTCAGAAGCTGCAACTTGCGGTGCATTCACAGGGGCAAAAGGACCAAACCGGTAACTTCTTGTGCTGGCTCTTGAGTCAGTCTGCAATTTTGGTCGAAGAACCTCATCTTCCAAAGCCTCACGTTTTACTTGTGCTTTAAGTTGTACCTTCATGCCCTGTTGCAATCCTCCATCCCCCACCGGTTCCACCTTACTCCTCTTAACTGTCATATTTGTCAGATCCATCCCAAATGCCCTTTTCTTAGACCCATCAATAGCCGAAGGATCAGCTCCGCTTTCAGATATACCTTTCATACCCAACCATCTAAAAGCAGGTTTTCTTGTTTCTGGATGATGCGTCTGCACGTCATGCAAATGACAGGTGATTAATACATAAATGTTGCCATTAAAGCTTCGCTCCAAATCCTAAGAAGTTCCATGCTCTCCAACTCATAGTTTGAATACAGTTTAATGTTCTTGCACCAATGCCATATAAAATCTTAACCATTCTACATGACTGGGATATTTTCCTTGAGTCCTGTGCATTACTATACACATACTAGAAAAGATGGGATTACCTTCTCAATAAATTTCATTGAAGCCAACACATTGGCAATGTCATACAGCCTTCTGACTTTACCTGCAGCACATCATGGAAAACAATGTTATCATCCACATCCAGATATCTACCAAATACAATGAAAGTCAAATTGACAAGGTAATTACTTCTTGTCATTGCAGGATCCTTTCCATTCTTAAGCAATATCTTTGCAGCATCATCAAGAGAAATCATGTCCATCTACAAGAACATAAATCAATTCAGGCACCCAAAAGCTGAACAGTGTGACTGATTACGCCAGCAGGAAAGATTAATCATTCAAACCGTGGTTTCACTTACATCCATACAAAGGAATAGCTTAACAAAGTTTTGGGTGAGCAATGCCAAAGACTTCTCTTTCCTGTTGTCAGCTGAAGTACAGGATGATAAATTAGTCTAACAATTCAGATAGAAGTCTAGCACAAAACTGACCGCACAATAAGCAAATAGTAGTACCATATTTGGATGACTGTGGAAGCTTTGGAGCAGAAATGGGGTTGAAGTTGTGATTCTGACTCGAGTAGTTGCTAAGATTTGAGTAGGTATCGTCCTCCTCATCATCTGAAGTCTAAAAGGAGAAAATGGTACACATATCATACAAGAGCACAAAATATGGCAGGAAACTGGAAGGAAGAAGAGTTATGAAAATGGCCAAGCATACTTTTACAGACGAAGTTCCATCATTTGCATTCTCATTCGTCACCATACCTTGTTCCTATGACACCATGAGAGCACAGTTGAGTACCATTTTCCCACAAGAAAGATTAAACATGACAAGGGAGGAAGAAAAAGAAAGAAGACAACCAACCAACCAACCTTAAGAAGTTGCAAGGCAGAAGGAATTGCGCCAAAACCTTTCCAAGTATAGCGATTTTTGGCCTTCCTAGCAAGAACCTGAGCCGATGAAAATTCCAAGACAGCAAGGTCAGGTTTTTTTGGCCCAATTCATTTAATTTTAGAAGGCCTAGACTGAAGTATAAAAATATAGTAATACTATAAATCTGAAAAAAAAGAGAGGGAAAAAAGAAAGAAAGAGAGTCTTACACCAACACTCTCCAAGACATTGACTATGTCATAGATCCGCCGCCTCTCAACCCCTAACATCATAGTAATAGAATTAATATAGTCAATTGGAAGAATCCGAAAAGGAACATCTCTTGCTGCTACTAATTCACGTGCAGGGGAAAATTAACAAACAAACAAAAAAAAAAAAAGAGGAAGAAGAAAGGGAAAATGGCGAAGGAAGTAAGTGAAAATTGGAGATGAGAAGCAAGGTACCTACCCAAACGAGCAGCGGCGTCGTCAAGGCCTATAGTCTCGACACCTTCCCTATCGTATAATCTCAAGAAACTACATTATTGCATTCAAGATACATGTATCAGACAATTTTCCGTCTGTAAAAAATGAAACACGAAAATTGATAGTACTATGCGGCAGTAGAAATGAAAATTGGAAAAGGACATGAATAGCGGAGAAAGAAGAAGAAGAAGAAAAGGTAGTGGTGGTAGCAGTAGTACTTGGAGCATAAGAGGCCGAGAGATTTCTGTTTACGGCAATAAATGTGTTGAGATCCACCGCCGCCGCCACCACTACCTCCAGCAGCGGCAGCAGCAGCTGCTTCGTACGCTTGATTTGCTGAGGGCAGCAACTCCATTCCCATTCTTCTTCTGCTGCTGCTACTACTGTGCGAGTAATGCGAGAGAGAAAGAGAGAGCCGTTAAGAAGAAGAGGACAAAGAGAAATAGGGATTTTGGCGGAATTAGAAAAGGAGATCTGGGAATGAAAGGAGGGATTTTGAAAGTTCGAATGAAAGCGCCAACTCCCTTTTTTATTTTATTTTATTTTATTTTTTTGGGGGTGGGTACTAAAAATCCGAAGCGCGGCCGGCCTGTATGAGCGGAGATGTTATTTACCATTTTGGCCTTCCACAATTCCAACGTCAATCGGCGGCAATTTATCTGGTCAACTCAGCTCCAGCCCAGGCACGGGAATGAATACCAGGGCTGACCATGACTTCCTAACCTAACCTAACCTAACTAACGAATCAAGGGCACGAACTCTTGTCGTCAGTGATAACCGTTTTGAACGATGTATAATTCTACGTCAATTACTCATAAAACTTAATAATAGAAACACAATTATTATTATATATGAGATCCATATGAACAGTAACAAAATATCACATCTCATGTTATAAAAACGTACAAAAAATTTACATAAAATTATAAAACATCAAAAAAAAAATGTTAAACTGTTCGAGGAACTGTTCCTGCCCCACTTCCCTAACTAACGAACCCAACCATGTGGGGCTTTTTTTATTAGTATCTTTATAAAATACTACAACTACATAATACTAGTATGATTTGGAGTGTTTACTGCTTAATTAATTGTGTAATATATCAGATAAGCCAAAAAACCTTCCAAGAAATTGCACTTATTAGTGCTCACCCTATAACAGTTGAGTTGACATTGATACGAAAAGAGTAGTCGTGTACATTAAATTTCTAAAACTCAAAGGAACCTATGACTTATCCTCGAACATACAAGGTTTAATGTTCACCGTCAAATCTTAGATGACAAATTCTTAGCTCCTTTTGAGGAGGAGGGGAAGGGGTAATAGTTAGTTTTTATGATTGGAGATGGTTTTATTGAAACTAGAAACGTTTGTTACATTTAGGAATATGATCAAACATATGGCTATAAACGAATCGAGTCGAAATCGAGCTCGAACTCAAGTTCAAAATATTAAGATCGTTAGCTCGCGAGCGTCGAGTATATATATATATATATATATATTTAAAATTTTTTTATCTCGCGAGCGTCGAGTATATATATATATATTTTAAAATTTTTTATTTTAAGTATATATATTTTTTATTTTGAGTATATATATATTTTATATTTTTAAATTTTAATAATAAAATTACATATATATCCTTAATATTTTATTATTTATTAAGAAAAAAATATTATTTTATTTATTTTTTAAAAATATAAATATAATTATTTTTTTTTCGAGCTTAAGCTCGGCTCGAATCAAGTCGAGCTCGAGCTCGAGCTCGAGCTTGAAATTGTCAGCTCGTCGAGTTTAAGCTCGAATTCAAGTTCAATGAAATTATATCGAGGTTCGACTTGATTAGGCCAAAACTCGACTCGACTCAGTTCGTTTGCAGCTTTAATCAAACATCACATGCCATGTTATTCTATCTACTAAATAAATTTAGTGTGTTTTTTCCATTCAAAATCCAAAAAGTGTAACATCGACATACTTATCAATTACAATTTTCAATTGACATGAATTGGGACCCTCATCTCATTATATTGGAATTAGGCGCCAAACTTTTTATTATTGTTAATTAACTTCACTATTCAATCTTACTCGATGTTACAACGTTTCCATGAACATGTACATGCAAATGGTGTCCACCTAAAATAGTGATCATTTAGTATAAACCTTTATAATTTTCTTTTTGAACAAAATTTTCAATAATGATATGTGAACAAAGGGTTGCTTGTCAACAAAATAAATAGGAGTACAAACTCAAGGAACCGACAACAAGAAGGAGGTTTTATGTTGCTTTGAGAGTTGCTCTTTTATTCCTTGGCTGCCTTCATAGAGATGACAATTGGGACAGATACCCCTAGAATGGAGATAAAACGCTCCCTCCATTGAAAAACGAAACGGGGGACTATACCCCGATCCCATCCCCTGCTTAAATAATATATATATATATTAATTATATGCATAACATATTTAATATTATTAGTTATAAATATCAAATTATGCATGTGTAATATAATTAATATTATTAGTTATACTAATAATTATATATTTATATTAATACAAATTATTGATTAGTTATACCAATATACTTATGCTAAATAACTAATTACAATTTTTACTAATCTACATTTATTCTACTAGATACTTTTTACTAATTATACATTTATACTAAATTACAAATTATATACTTTTATTAATTATAAACTTTCCCCCGGCGGGGGAAGTAGGGCGGGGCGGGGAGCGGGTGACTGGGGGCGATCCCTACGCCTTAGAAACCAGATGGATAAGCTCATGTCCTGTATTACTCTCCAATGACTCGGAAAATGTTTCACATTCATTACTAACTTCACATTGAGATCCTCACTAGCTACCTTGAAAGTCCTACATGTAGGATAGGATATCTGCACTATGTTGTTCACGGTTTGACGATCTCTAGTACACCCTTCATCTATGGTTCAGTTATGAGAAATACAGGAGTATGCAGTTTAAGAATGCAAGATGATCCCTAGATATTAACAGTCGGATTCAAAGAAATAGTATGCATTTGACCACTAAATGTAGATCACTACAGCCCCTGAAGCAAAATCCAACAGCCCAATTCAACTTGAATTATGCCCAGCAGGTTTCAGACACCAGAGGGGATCTCGTAGCATCTCCTTCAACAACTGCACCAGGCCCCTGCATGAATCACCGGACAATATCGTTCTTATCACTTGCTGTATACTCTCTCTTGCAATTGACTTTGCAATCCACCAGCTACTGAAATCAACTTTCTTGAGCGCAAGATACTTGAAGCATCACACTTAAAACAGCCTCTGAGAAATAGTAATGCAAAAGATCAGAGGGACTTTGATCAATTGGGGCATAAATTCTCAATTCTCCAAATCTTGAGAGATGATCACCAATTCAATAATAAACTAGAATGAACTACAAAATGCATCCTCAAAGAAATGGAGAAACAAATAAGGACTTATCAAGAAGTGACCCAAGGGACGAAGGCCTTTTCATAGGTTTTATTGATCTCAGATGTCCATAATGAGAATCACATCTCTTAGAACTTGTCCAAGGGAAATATGCTGGTGTTGGTACGTTTGGCATGGGCAAATAAGAACAGAATTTGTTCCAAGAATAACAATCAAGTGATCAAGAAATAGAATGGTAAGCACCCCTATTTTGATACATTACACAAACTACAGTGAAATAGGATCAGATGCTAGTAGCATAGGCCTGGGATAAAGATACCAGTATCCTGCAAGTCGGCAAAAGGTACTATCATTTGCATGACAAAAGGAATAGTCCAGGTTTTGCATTCCAATCAATATAGTACCTTCCAGGTTTTCACCTACCTAAGCAAAGCTGAGCAATATGGTGGCAATCTGGAAAGCCATAGTTTCACTTCCATCTTCAACTCTTCAGCTAAAAGCTGACATGTACCAAGAATTTCACAACTTAGTCCAGTGACAAACACCAACTCGAGTACTTCATAGATAGAATAAACGACATATACAATACCATGTACAACTTCTGATATGGATAATAAAGCAACTGTTGATTTCTTAACTGAGACAGTAATAAGATGGAATAACCCCTTGCTAACATTGAAAATGTAGCAAAATGCTCAGCTACACCACTGTGGTGTATGATCAAGAACTTCCTGTAGGCTTTAGACCATTAGTTTTCTGCAGCCTATATATAAACTCGGCATTTTACTGTCTGTAATTCCATCCTTCACTGGCTTTCTTATCATTTATCTCCAAAAGGATATTAACATGATCTATATCTTCTTCTTTCTTTAAGTTCTTTATTGACTGGATGGTACAAAAGCAAAAATGAGAATCTTACAAATTGATTGCCTATTTTCTTCGCAATTTTGACTTACAAGCAATTGTGATAGAGTAATACAAAAGCATGCATGTTCTTAAGTTAACGCAATCAGCAATAGGTAAGTTCCTCCCTTGCTCCAGAACTGTAAGGCCAATCCTTCATTAGGTACTTCCCACTCCAAAAAACACACAGCAAATGGACTCCAAATGCAGAAGAGAGTACCCATGTTAAAGAATATAAAGGAAAGAACAGAAGTACCTAAGGCAGAAACAATCATCACAAGGTTTGCAAAAGTTCCACCATGCCTTTCCTTTCGATGGCACAATTCCATCATTTACTGAATACTTCCTCTCCTATTCTCAGTCTCAACAAGAAAAGCTGAATTAGATAACTAGTAGAATGGAGAAACAAGTTTCTGTTTCTTGAATTAAGCTGAATTAGATAAGACAGAAACATAAGCACAAACAGGATGTCCCACTGATAGACTCATTTCTCAAGGTCCCAACCTTTAACTGGCTCACAGGAAATATGCTAACAATTCATGTAAAATGTTACAATTATAGACCTTTGTTAATCCAATCTTGAGAAAGAAGCCTAGTAAGCAAATAGTCATAAAAGAAAATTTTGTTCGTGCAGATATGATATATTGACACAAAGGTGATTGTGGCAACAGTCAAGTGAAAGAAATTCTCCAAATGCAAACCAGTGCAACCAAAAAAAATGCTATCAAGGATAAAATCATCTATTTCCAAGAATATAAGCTTCAAAACAATATGTATAACATGCCCAGAACTGGAAAACGATCCTATTTATAAATACAGTTTGCCACAAGGAATTGACCCAAACAAAGAAGCAAAAGTTCGCATTTTCAACAATTTGATCATTGATAGTTCCAAAGTTCAGTCTAAATATTTCACTCCAAGACATGAATGTAACAAAATTGTCTTTCATCTGGCACTGCTAGTGTCATAGAACACAATAATTAGTTTTCAGTTCAAAAATTAAGCTGAAGTTTCGTCAAATCCTAAACCTCAAGTATATCAAGTGAAGACAATGCAGAAGACAAACTTGCATGCCAATGGAAAAGGTTGGGCCATTGCAATCATTAAAGCAAACATACTTTGCCTGAGGTAATGCAACACAATCATAGTCTGAAATGACGAGGAACCCGGCCAGATCTGCTTTGCAGTCGTAAAATCTCTCTAGCAAATTCTTGATTACCTGTAAGCAAAAGGCCATTCAGAATGCGGTTGAAAGTAAACCTTTGAGGCAGAAATCCTCTGTCAATCATTTCTATCAACAACTTTCCTGCCACCACCAAATCATCTGATTTCTTTCTGACAAACATTGCACTGATCAAGATGTTATAAGTATCTAAGTTAGGTAAGCAATGCCCACTACCCATTTTCTCAAACAATTCGAAGGCCTTCTCAAATTCTCCATCATCACAATAATATCGAATTACAAGATTGTATGTCTGAACATTAGGCTCACACTCATCTTCTTTCATCTTGTCCATATACTCAACTGCCCTGTCCATTTTACCGACATGACACAAACCTCTAATGAGCACATTATAAGTAGTGACGTTAGGTAAATAGCCCTTCCGCAACATCTCATCAAACACCAAAATTGCATTTTCCACATTGTCTTTCTTACATAAAACTTGAATCAGAGCATTGTAAGTTGCTACTGAGGGAAGCACTCCAGCTCCAACCATCTCATCAAACAGCTTACGGGACCTCTCAACCTCACCTGCAACACCAAAACCGTGAACCATAGTAGTATAAGTCACCACATCAATCTCACATTTTCTCCTCTTCATTTGCAAGAAAAACTCCCAAGCTTCCTTCGTTTGCCCTGCTCTAAAGAAACCTTTAAGAATTATATTATAAGTCATCACATTTGGCTCCAATCCTCTCTCCACCATTTCCTTCAAAATTTCCAATGCCTTTGGCGTTCGCTTCATTATACAATACCCATTAGCGAGAATGTTATAACTAATCATATCAACTCTAAACTTCCTCCTAAACACCTTAAACAGATTATAGGCTATTTCAGCCCGCTTCGCCTTACAGAGCACATCAAGAAAAGAATTGAACGAAGTCAAATCCTGAGGACAACCATGTTTATGCATTGACAAGAAAACGTCAACCGCCTTATCAGCTTTGCCAGAAGCCACATACCTTTCGAGGATGATGGCGAAGGTTTTCGGGCAGGGACCGAGCTTTCTAGCCCGCATTTGGGCCACAAGGGCCCATAGGGTCTTGTAATCCCGCATTCTGGCAGCAATGTCGATGGCGTAGTCAAATGCGGTGGCGGAGTGGGTGTAAGAGAGATGGGAGTCGAGGGCTTTGAAGAACTGGAGAGCTTTCGGGCCATGGTTCCAGAGGCGTTTGAGAATCGTGTGGACAAGCTCAGGGGTCCATTGCACAAGAGTGGGCAGCTTTTGAGTTAAAATTTCTGGGTTTGCCTTGAGAACGAGGTTGGTTATGGAGGTCACGTCCACCTCCGCCACTGCCGGTGGCGGAGGAGCTATCTGGTGTTTCAGAGGGGTTTTTGCAGAGGAGAAATCGGGGAACTTGGGGCCTACCGCTGTTTTGTGTAGTTTTGACATACTTTAAACTAGCAAGACGGTGGCAGAAGAGACCGCAAAACGCCACCGTTCTATCATGCTGCTAAAGGAAATGGACGAGGGTGGCGACACTGGCCAGCGGTGGCAAGCGGGGAGCTTCCATCGGTGGCAGAAGATATACATAAAAAATGAAGAGGGGAAAAAAGGAAGAATATGGAAAAAAGTAGTGGAAATATTTCGTACAAAGTCCTTCATATTTTCAAATTATCCATGTTTAGCCCTTATATTTTCAAAGTGGTGCATTTCAATCCCCAACATTAGCGGAGCCGCATGTGTTTTCACACGGTAACAATTTATTCGTTGAAAAGGAAAATGATTAGCAGAAATTTTGAATTTCAACACAGGCATTTCATCAAACATCAGCAGCCCGCGTCCACTTTCCCCCCAAACCCACCCACCCTTCCTCCGCCGCCCTCCGCCTCTCGTCCCCCTAAAACCACCCCATCTCCGCCCCAGAAGTACGTGCATTCCACACTGACTATGTGTGAGAGCATGAACGTATAGAAACTAGTAAAAAAGATCCATTGGGAAAATGGCGAGCAAAGAGACCTGTAGACAAGAGCTCCGCACAGCAATCCGCCAACTCAGTGACCGCTGCCTCTACTCCGCCTCCAGATGGTACCCGCATCTCCCCTCTGGGAACCCAGAAAATACTTTAATTTTCATTTAATTTCTATGACGGGTTTTCTCATTTTTCTTATTTTCGGATAATTGTTTCCGCAATTTCAACCTTTTTAAGGGCAGCGGAGCAGTTGGTGGGGATTGAGCAAGACCCGGCAAAGTACACCCCGTCACATACGAGATTCCAGCGCGGCAGCTCCAGCATTCGCCGGCGGTTTCGCACTGACGGCACCGGGGATGCTGCGTCAGCCTTTAACTCCACTCCCGTTGCCGGCGTGTCATTTATATCGACCCCACCGGCTTCTGAGGAGGAAAACGACGCCGTGGAGAGTGATTTTTATTTGTTGGCGAAGTCTTATTTCGATTGCAGGGAGTATCGGAGAGCAGCCCATGTGCTCCGCGAGCAGACTAGCAAGAAAGCTGTGTTCTTGCGCTGCTATGCGCTATATTTGGTTATTTTCTTCGCTCATCCTTTACATTTGCTTCTGTCTAGTATTTTGAGTGTTCTTCCTTTTTTGTTGTTTCCAATGGTAAAGTAGTTTATTGAATTTGATTTCAGGAGCACTCAAGTTGGGCTTTTGGTCTTAAGTGATGTGTTAAATTATATAGATACTGACGGCCATAAAATACACATTTTCCACGTTTAAGTTCTTTAGTTGCGTCAGGTAGTCTTAAGTGTTGGACTTTCACAAAAAGAAATGATTCTGCTAGCTTGTTGGTTTATACATAATCCATCCACAATAAAATAGGTAGCAACAATGAAAAGTTGAATAACTTTGCATCAGTTGCACAGGCATTAATTGCATTGCCTGCCGTGGAGTTACAAGTTGAAATTTGAGCTATTTGATTAACTTGGGATGTTAGCATTAGGTTTAGGAAATGTACCATTTGTTATGACGATTGAATGATAAATGCTGCCTTGCATTCCAGTTTCAGGAAAGTGTTTGTATATGTGTAAGTTTAGGAGCAAGCTTTCATGCATCGGTACTTTTGTTTGAGTCTTTTAGTCTTTTCTACGTTCACAGTTGATGTTGTGCAAATAGTGAAAGTTGGAGTGGTCATGGAATTCTCACAGAAGGCAACCTAAAGTTTCCCCTGAAGCAGTTAGAAGCCCAATATGAATGAAAAAAAGTACTAGACTAAGACAAATGGCAAGTTCAATTGAACAGTAGACTAAGATTAACAAAGTTAATAGTGGTCTAAATATACGTTTCACCTGACACTGCTATATAGTTTACATTTTGGGTTTGGGAGTGACAATGATTTGGCTCGCTGGACCTGTCACAGTACCATCTTGTCTTGTATATATCAAGTTTTCTCATACACAAACTCTTACTTATTTTCTACTAGAAATCATTAGTAATAACTACTCCCTCCATCCCATTGATAATCTCATACTTTCCTTCTTGGTTAGTCCTCAAAATTTGTGCCACTTTCCAAATTATGCACAAAGTTTCCCTTTGCAGGCCCACCAACTTTGTTCATGACTGTCGCTAGGTAATGATGTGAACTCTCCTATTAGTGTGTGAATTCCATGAGCTACAGCTGAGCGTTTATGCACCTTTAAGGGATTGCTCACTGACTTGCAAATTTCCTTGGCAACCCAAAATGATTATTCTGTAATTTTGAAATTTAAAAACACTGGCAGTTTAGCCCCAAACACATGTTTCAGATTTTTATATGCCCGGGGAATGAAGGGAAGAAGAGCTGAAGTTTACAAAAGCTTTTCACCATTGATAGATGGAGTAACAAATGGAATTTAGATATTCATTTGATCAGCTAGCTATTGTTATGCTTTATTTCTTTTCGTGTTGTTTTATCATGTTGAACTCAAAATTTCAAAACAAGAACTAATTAAGAAAGAAAATGGGTCCTATTCTGTGACCTCAAGACACAGAGTAAAGGGTAGGTTGCATGTCATTTTTTCCAAAAAAAAATAAGTTTTTCGTTGGGAAAGCCTATGCAAGCTAGGGGATTGGGGGTAATTTAGTTTTTATAGTGGCCCACCCTCTCTTTTTGGTGTATTATCCTAAGGGCGCAAATAGAAAAATGGAAAGAAATTAAAGGAGAAGAATGCATGTGGCTGTATATCCTGTAAAATATTGAGATTGAGTTGCTGGTGAAGCATGAAGAGAAGCGTCATTCTGCGGTTCAAATTGTATTTGCAAGAGCCTGAGATTTGTTTTGTGGTTAAGTACAATGATGTTCCTTTGTCCTAATCATAATGTACTTGCAAGAAGGTTCTATGGTTATTATGCATTACCTGTAATGCTTAAAGCATTGAATGGGTAGAGTGTACTTGCATGTCTATTATGCATTACCTGTAATGCTTAAAGTGCAAGAAGGTTCTATGTCTATTATGCTCTAAAATTCTGGCAATGGGGATTTTGGATGTCATGACTTTAGTACTTTCCTTTGGCTTCTTAACAATTGAACCACCTTTGGGGTTGGAAGGCTAATTTTCAGTTATGGGTTCCAATTTGGGCTGGCTGTAAAAGTTTCAAGCTGTTGAAATGTCTAAGATTGTGTGAAGTGTGAAGTTATAGAAATTAATAGAAGATTGACAAATCTAGTTGACCTGTAATGATCATAGCCAATACTTTATTTTAGAAGCTTGGAGGATGATATAATGAAATATGCGGACTGTATGATAACATTCTGCTTCTTGTTGGAAAGTAAATTTGAGTAGTTTGGTTCCATGCTTGTTTTTCAAGTTAGTTTCTTAGATTTTGTAGTGCTTGGTCATACTTACTATGGCCTCACTTTTTCTGTATGATAACAAGCTTATCCTTGAGTTCAATGCCAACCTTCAACTCCACCTGCTGTAATTTAAAGTTTAAATCTGGGATGGTGTAGTGATTGTGCTTCTTGTTGAAAAGTTAACTTTAGTAGTTTGCTTGTTGTAGGCGAAGTTGGTTTCTTAGATTCCTGTACAGTTTGGTCATACTTTTCTACTTTTCCTTCAATAGGCTGGTGAAAAGCGTAAGGAAGAGGAGACGATGGAACTAGAGGGACCTTTAGGCAAGAGTGATGCTGTAAATAAAGAACTAATTTCACTTGAGAGGGAGTTGTCAGGACTTCGCAAGTGTGGAACAATTGACTCGTTTTGTCTTTTTCTGTATGGTCTCGTTCTCAAGGAAAAAGGCAATGAGGGTCTTGCTCGGGTTGTTCTTGTAGAGTCCGTAAACAATTACCCTTGGAACTGGAGTGCTTGGTCTGAGCTGCAGTCACTGTGTACTACAGTTGAAATACTGAATGGTCTTCATCTTGTTAACCATTGGATGAAAGACTTCTTTCTTGCCAACGCGTATCAGGAACTTCGTTTGCATAACGAGTCATTGGCAAAATATGAATATATACAAGGAACTTTCAGTTTCAGCAACTACGTACAGGCTCAAATTGCTAAAGCTCAGTATAGTCTGAGGGAATTTGAACAAGTTGAAGTTATATTTGAGGAACTTCTGAGGAATGACCCGTACAGAGTTGAAGACATGGATATGTATTCCAATGTGCTTTATGCAAAGGAGTGTTTCTCAGCTTTGAGTTACCTTGCACATAGAGTATTTTTGACGGATAAATATAGACCAGAATCTTGTTGTATAATTGGAAACTATTACAGTCTCAAGGGGCAGCATGAGAAGTCAGTTATGTATTTTAGAAGGGCGCTTAAATTAAATAAGAATTATTTATCAGCTTGGACATTAATGGGTCACGAATATGTTGAGATGAAAAACACCCCAGCGGCTGTTGATGCCTATCGGAGGGCTGTAGATATTAATCCGTGTGATTATCGGGCCTGGTATGGTTTGGGCCAGACATATGAGATGATGGGAATGCCCTTTTATGCACTGCATTACTTTAAGAAGTCAGTGTTCTTGCAGCCAAATGATTCTCGGTTGTGGATTGCCATGGCTCAGTGTTACAAATCAGAAGAGCTTCACATGCCTGAGGAGGCAATTAAGTGTTTCAAAAGGGCTGTGAATTGTAATGACCGGGAAGCGATTGCACTTCATCAGCTAGCCAAGTTGCACCAAGAACGTGGTCGTTTTGAAGAGGCAGCATTTTACTACAAGAAGGATTTGGAGAGGATGGAAGCTGAAGAAAGGGAAGGGCCAAACATGGTTGAAGCTCTGTCTTTTTTGGCCAGATATTGCAAAGATCAGAAGAGGTTTGAAGAAGCAGAGGTGTATTGTACCCGTCTTCTAGATTATACTGGCCCGGTAAGTCCTGAGCCTGTTCTCCTTAATCTAATCTCAGATTAGTTTCATACTCATTGGTTTTGATTTACTGAGTGACACCTCTTTGACCCTGATGCAGGAAAAGGAAGAAGCAAAAAGTCTTCTTCGAGGGATAAGATCTGCCAAGGATGTTGAGCTCTTTCCGCCTTAAGTTCTCTCCTTCATACGTTACATGCAAATAGAAATCATGAAAGAGTTATGGAAATTGGGTTTCAGATAATTGATTGACGTGAAAAAAAGGTTGAAGAGCTCACATGAAACAGCAAGTATTTAGGTGGCAGAACTTCTATTGCTGTTGTTTACTTGTTAATGTACCGACAGTTTCCTGTCAGAAATTTGTTGCAGTCTTTTCACAATCTACTATTTGTTTATCCTTATCCTTTACAAGAAGTAGTCGCTCTTATTGGGAGCGTATTTTTATTTACTGGAAGATGGTAACTTGTAAGTGCTGAAGCATTACACCTTCTGGGAAGTGAGAGTTTTTGTACTGGAATAATACTTGCACTCCCCTCCAGTAAAGTGAATGCATTCTCTTTTTCCCATATCCCCCCTTCCCCAACAGAAAAACCATCATCTCATCAAGGTAGCATCCAAAAAGAATCGGCTCCTTATCAGTTGGTGAAACTTTTCTAATGCTTGGTTGTTGCTATAGTATGTCTCATCTCTCGTATGAATTTAGCTGTGCCCCATGTGAAATCTTCCATAAGATTAATTGAAGTGGAGTGGGCAGCTGAAACCAGTTTGAGGGAGTTGTTTTGTGTTGCATCATTTGGTGCCTCTTGCAAGAGTCTCAGCAGGCTATTGTGCTCAGTTATGGTTTTCGCTACCCGGAAATTGAATCTTATTGAATGGCTACAAAGTATTTCTCAAGTGCTCATGAAAAGAATATAATTATTGTATTAGTAGTAATTTAGATTTACTTACTGATGAATTTGAATCTACGTCTAGTTTAATTAGTTCTGAATAGGTAGTTCCAAACTATCTATTTAATAGCTATTAATTAATGAGCTTAATTAGGTTATTCATTTAAAACTAATAAAATTGTATATCCATATTCATTTATTAAAGAACGAGTTGAAAAATTAGTCACTATTTATAACTATAGATGGGAGTCTCCTCAGAATTAGGACTGTACTCGAAACGTTTTCCCCTAACGGTCATGCGGTTGAAACAAGGGTTAATTACATTCACCTCTATTGTGGTTTGGTCAAATTACCATTACATCCCCTCAAATTTTAAATATTGCAATTACCCCCTTTGACTTGATGGTCCAATAACAATCATCCCCTCACCGTTAAAAAACCAACGTGCAGTTACTGAGAAAGGCTACAGATTAATTTTATATTTACCAAAATAACCCTAGCTCTTAGCTTTTCTTCAAAAAAAGAAAAAAGGAAAAAACACCATTTAGCAATTACAAACCATTGCCTTTGCGCATATTGCTTACATTTTAGTTGGACTGCTGTTGCTTCCATTTGGGTTCTAATCATTATGAATGGTAGTCTAAAGCTTTAAAATTAGTTAGAAGGGGGAGGAAATAAATATAGAAAAAAAAAAAGAAAAATGAATTTCTTTTTAAACCTATAAAATGGCATTGAGGAATTTCAAATTTACAACACTTGTGGGCGAGTGATCTTTTCACTGATTCCGTCCAAGACACTTTGGCAGAAGTTACTTAAAGGGGGTGTTGGTTATTTAGCCAAACCTCAGGGTTTTTTTTGTAGTTTGGTCAAAACTGAAGGGAGGTATATGCAATTAACCCGTTGAAAGAAACACCCCAGCATTTTCGGGTCTCCCTCTCTCAATCTGTTATCTTACCAAGTCTTGCAGCAAAATCCGCATATATCAGCAGACTAGTTCAGTTGAGATCAATGTTGCCATTTGGCTTCTGTCTTCCTTCCTTTGAACACCAGCACTAACACTCCTTTTATCTTATCTAAGCAGAGCAAAATTCCTTTCTTTCTTTTTTTTTTGGCCATCTCTTTTGGCTCAGCCCACCTCCAATATTTTTTTTACATGAATACTCTCTATTTTTGTCACACATTTCTTTGAGATGAGATGACCCTCAAAGGTGGCACCAGCCAAGCCTGCGCTGCCTGCAAGTATCAGAGGAGGAGGTGCACGGCTGACTGTCCACTCGCGCCATACTTCCCAGCTGATCAGCCTAAGATGTTCCAGAATGCTCACAAGCTTTTTGGCGTGAGCAACATCTTGAAGATTCTGAGACAGCTAGACCACCCCAGCCAGAAGTTGGTTGCCATGAAGTCCATCATCTATCAATCAAATATACGCGATAAGTATCCTGTCCACGGATGTTTAGGAATCATACAACAGTTGTGGTACCAAATTCAACTAGCCGAGGAGGAACTTCAAGCCATTCATGCACAATTGGCTCTCTATCGACAGCATCAGCAACAGGAGGTGTCAACTGGATTGAGTGATTCTATATCGCAATTGCACTTAGGAATGGCGCCTCCAAGCAATGCCCTGTCGCATTTTCACCAGGATGCTCCCCAAAATTATGACAATACCGTATCCGCACTGCCCATTGGATCACACCCCACTTACTCCTCCAATAGTGCCAACGCTGCCAATTACAATGCAACTTACATGGATTCCAAGGAAAACAATGCTGTAAACTCTTTATGGGTTCAACAGCCGCCCTACAACAATAGCAGTAGTGATATTAATAATAGCAATCCAATGGTTATGCAATCTCAGTTGATAAACTCGCAGCCCTTAATAATCCAACAAGATTGTGGCACACAAGATTATGATGAAATGCACCCATTCTTTGATACAATTGATGATAGACAGTCTTATATTGCTTCAAAGGAAGCATATGAGTCGAGGTAAATAAACACACTGAATCGCTATGTCGTTTTATCAATCAATTTTGAGAGCATGATTCAGATTTTACAAGAAAGAACATTTCTATTTGGTCTCATCATGAGGTGTCTATGAATTTGCAGCTCTGAATCATCATTGAAGGACACAACACAATCTGTTGAGCATGTAGCTGAGAATGAGTTGAAGAGTGCTGCGGCGTGTTTCAGTCTTACCAGCATTAATTAGTACCGCAGAACACCATGGAATGTGTGGAGTAACTGGTACCAGAGAGTAGACTTGTGACTATGGTGCCTGTATTCTGCACATGTTATTTCACATATTCACAGAGTACGTTTTGTTAAATTTGCAACATTTCTCTTTTACTTCAACTTCTTTCTTTTGAATACTTAATAGTTGTTTCAGTAGGAAATGATTTGGTCATTCATTCTGTAAACCTGCACTTTCAGAACAGAGGAGTATTTGTGTCCTCCCCTCAACTAGGAATGTGATCAACTCTCTGCAGATTAATTTGCAAATGATGAGCGAAGCCATTATTCATGACGATGTATATTTGAACTCTTGAGTGGACAAAACCACCGTTCTAGTTTGAAACAACCACCCCAAATCCAAATGAATCACTTTAGTAGCTCTGATAAAGAGCTTCAATGTTTTAGTTCGTACACTATCTAGGTCTTTTCTGAATTGCAAGCGGATCTCTTTCTTTTCAACTCCTGATGGCCAAAGCAAACTTAAACACAAAAACAAACGGACGGAAAAAAGACAACAAAATACAGATTTGAGTTTCAGATAAAGGTATGAACCTTCTCAGAATCCAAAGTTTGTGAAAGCTAGGACATGTGATCACTGCTCTTTGTTAGTTTAGTGTTTCTTCAAGATTAATTACTGCTAAAAGCTTTCAGTTCCTATCATGAAGCCTGCACATAATAGCTGATATCGGGTAGAATGTCATCAAAATGTACTGTGAAAAATGTTGTCTAGAGCAGCAAAAACCTACCAACTACAGATAATTCTGTAATATGGCTATAGCTGACAAAGCTACTGAAAGTAACTGGACCAAAAATGTTGAAAATAACCTAAAATTCTAAGACTATTCAATTACAGTGTCAGCTAAGCCTTAATCTGAAGGGTCTTAATCCCCATAGAGGATCCAAGAATCTATAACTAATCATTTTGAATTGAAAATAATCCAATTTATTAAACTTTAAGAGGTTTAGGTTGGATGATTAACCCTCTAAATTATCTTAGGAATAGAAGATTTAACTAAGATAGATTGACGTAGTCAAAGAATACCAGTGACACAAATTAAGAATGGGTAAATAGGGAAGATCATAGTATGGTTTAAAGTATTACGGGGAACTTAAAATACAAGAAGGTGATTATTACCTTGGGATTACTTTTGTGTAAGGTAGTTGCTATTCATTAAACCTGCATCTCACGCTTGAGGTCAGTCAAATGATGACCCTTACCTAAATAAACGCTCAAAAAGCACTAGATTTTAACTTGCCCCAGCTACCAAGTCCTTGAAGGAGAGCAGCACTCACAAGTAGATTAATAGGTCGGTCATTTCTTCACTGTTCCAATTATTTCTTTCCTCTGTTTCTTTCTTCTAGAATTACATTTTAAATTGCTGAATATATCAGGTTCACCTACTGTTGTGAAGTAAAATATTTGAAGGTTTACTGATCCACTTAGCATCCTCCTGTTACACATACTTTGTTGGCTGTTTGATAATTTAAAAAGTACATAAAAATCCCTGCCAGTGATTAAAAGTGCAGCCAGCGAATGCATTTGATCTGAGTTTGCATTGCAAAAGAAAACCCGAAAAGAAGTTTCTCATGATAGTTCTTAGAAGTTATGAGCTTGGTGGATTAAAACTGTTTCCTTCTTTTACAATGTCATTTAATTTGTTTTCTAGAAGGGGAGGGGATTGGGGTAACAGAAGTGAGAAGAGAGTATGGACATGGTGAGAATCAAACTATTGTTCTGAGATGATGATACAAGACGGTTTTCTGAGTTAGTTACTTTTATGCTTTCTCTCAAGAATCTGAAGATTTACACTAGTAACAGCCAAATGACTTCAAATCAAGAAAACTAGACCATGGTGTAATGCAACTTTTATTACTTCCCGCAGCATAAAATGTCTTTTCTATTCTTTTATCTCTGATGTACTTCACTTTCTCCAGTCAATTCATAGACCAAAAATAAAACAAAAAATACTTGGAACAAAATAACTTCTCCATATTCAGATTCTACTACTAGCTATTTAACTTTTACTTTTTGTGAAGATCATACTTGTTTAGTTCATCTCAAGTGATTAATACATTTCATTTTCCTACAAGTATTTCATTATTAAACTTTTCTATTTTGTTACTGATAAAATGTGTATAAACACATAAATATACATTAGATTAGCTTTGTCCCCAATGAAAAAATATCTTTGCTCCCCCTGCCCATGCTCATACTGTTTTTAGCAAAACATTCAGCTTAGAGCAGTAATGAGGTGTATGGGCAGAAAAGCATCACTAATGGAGTTGACGTCTTGCTATTGGTAGCTTCACAGAATAAGGAATTTCAAACTTAAAATATTACTTATTGTTTATGAAATGATGATGATGCAAAGTCTAGGACAGTATCAAATTTCTTTAGGAAAATGGGAAGACAGAGTATGTGCCAATTCCTAGTTTCTTCAAGCTATTAAAATAATGCAAGGCAAGTACTAATTTCTTATCTGTATAAAACGGGCTAAATTGTATTACAGCTTTGTCAGATCAGTTGTCACACACTCACTGTGTATTTGGCTTATAGGAGCCTGGTATTGTATGAACCACAATGAGGGCACTTGTGATACAGCCAGTGGAAGGAAGCATTTCCTTTCCTTTCACAGTCATTGCATAGAATAACCTGTGAATCATAACAAATTTCAATATCAGGACTTACTAACGTGGCAACGTTTGGATGATAAACTAGCATCTTGAATAAGATAATAGATGATCAACCTGAATTCGACTTGAATACTCCTGCGGAACTTTCTCTTCAGCTAATAGTGCGTCTAACATTCCAAAATACACCTGAATGCAAACAAATAAACGTTGTTTCCTGATTCTTCACTTGTAATTCATTTAAATAAAAGTCATAGGTTGATCATTCTGGTGCTTAAGGCTGGCATACAAGGGCTGTGATACCTGACAGTCAATCACTTCCAAATTATTAACTAACAGTGACCTAAAGATGCATAAGAGAAGAGACACTCGGAAGGTAAAATATTCACCTAATGTAGATTGGAGATCGAACAAGCAGATTGGTAAGTGTTCCAAAGCGTAGGAAAATACTGATGCTCTACCACAAGGTATTGTATATTGGTCAACAGTTGCTGTAAAGCAATGTCCACTGAAGGACATTTAGTAGCATATCAATAAGAAATTTCAATCATCATGATGTTAAAACATGAAACTCTTGTATGCTTACTGAATTACACCTAATTATCATAACAACACATCAGGTTTGTCATAAAACCTAAAAGCAGGTAAATGGAAGATGTGGTAACCAATGACTTAATCACAAATGCAAACCCATACTCCTAAAGTGGCACTACCTTGTGAAGAGCATCAAAGTAACACTAGATGTTTTCGAAACAGAAGGTAGGAAAATGTTATTAAGCCTATTACTGTTACTTAAATCGACCATAATTGGATGCTAGTATGCTAAATCCTCCAACTCAATGGAAACTAATTAAGTTATATACTTCACAGAATGTGACACATCTATTATCCTGTATGCATCAGTACAAGTTTACTCGAAAATCAGGACTGTGCTATGCCTTTAAGATTTGTTGCTTTGTAATGGGTTAGATGAAAACTCGAGGTTTTCATTAAACAAGGGTACCACTTATGAAGCGTTCTAGTAGAGATCAACTTTTGGTTGAAAGACAACATTGGTCCTCTTATCCATCTTGGATTCTAGAACTGTTAAAGCATTATTAGAATATATCCAGGTCAACAGGACAAGATCAGTGTCATTTAGTGTAACAAGTCTACCATGTAAAGTAACCTATATGAATGCACCTGCAAGTAGTAGAATTTGATACAACATGCCGAAAAGGACCATATATACTCTCCAAAATGGATTTCCTAATAAGCACCAGAGCTAAAGGAAACTGCATTAGCAGAAGTAATACATGGAAATAACTACTAACCTGCATGTCCCCAAGTGACTTGCTACAAATTGGGCAGGTATAATGAGTATATGTGTATTCCTTGATTCAACAGAAAAAGCGTCTCAGCAGTGAAGAATCTTTAATTAATCTTTAGAGAATTCTGTACATGAGACAGATACCTGAAAACATACTGAGTGCATTAAATGACCACATGGAAGTGCCTTGACTGGAGAGCTTGAGGTAAAAATGTATTCATGGCAGATTGGGCAGTTGTCCTCAAAGCACTTCTCTCTGCAGATATGCACGGAAAGAGACCGTGACATGCAAGCATTACAATTCATGCAATGGAAGTAATCAATACCCAATCCCTTCCCAACTCGGCACAGATTGCAATAAGGGCAGTGATAAATTTTCCTGTCCAAATCTGTAAAAGTCAGTATTGATTACAAACAAGACATAAACAAAACAAAAAAAAAGATATGTAATAATGATCCACGATCACAAGATCGGATATCAGCTAACAATAAGAGAGGGTGCATCTTCAAACTACTCATCAAATGACATCAATGTGTTGTCCTAAAATTCCAAATCTTAGAAACTCTAAATTCCAAACCTTAGTTACTCCATAATTGTATTGGTTTGTAAATTTAACCAACAAGAAACTAAAATTTCCATGAAATCAAAATCGATAGAATAAAGAACAAAATGCTTCAAGATCCATTCTAATATGGTGCAAGTTTATCCTATGACATTTACAAGTGATTAGCTATCAAAGCCATGGTACGGTAATATAGATATCTATCAAAAATCATAGGTAGGTGATAAATCAGGAAAAAGGAAAGGAAACAGAAAGGAAGAGTGTCGTAGAAAAAGATAGAAGGAACAAGGTAAAAATCATCAAGAGGCAATGAATCTCACAAATTCAATAACCATAATTCAGCTCTAACAAAGTCAAGGAATAAATCAAGATGAAAAGAATCGGGTATAAAAACGCCGAGGCTATGATGATCACGACAAAGTTCCATACATGCTCCATCCATTGACTACGCTTCTCATGAGTGAGACATTCATGTAATGTGACAAGAAACATAAATTAAAGAACCTACTAAAATGACACAAGTTAGTAACTTGAGTCTAACAAAATAAATATAATTTTAATATGTATAAATTCCAGGAAAATGTTGAATGTTACTTATAGCATATAAACTACAATAGCAATGTAAATCAGTACCAATTTTAGTTTGCATTGCCCCCAAAATGCTACTAACGACTGACAAGCCAAAACCAAGTTGCTAATAGCTGAAGCACTTGGAAATATAGGCAAAACCTATTGAAATTCAATTTATTAAAAAAATATTTAAAATAACAAATAATTCATGGAGAATTACTTCAGTTAGAACATATAATTCCTTGTCCCAGTGTATTGTTTACAAGCATGATGTACTTTCACCTTCCCCCTGGCCCCTACCATACAAAAGATTTGAAAAGAATAGATAGTATATACAGAAGTAGATGCTAACATGCACATAAAAGAGCATGCTGGATAAAAGATTGTATGAACTTTTTGGACCCAATTGGTAAATTACAATAAGAAAAAATGATATCATTTTAATACTTGCATCAGAAAAAATAGTGAAAATGAGAGGAAAAAGACTGAGTGATTTCAAGTTAAGCCAATCTGGAAGGTACTGGTTAACTGTTGGCCCAACTCTGCAATTGACAATCAAAACACAACGCGTGACTGTAGTCATTCACAACTAACAAAGTGGTACTTTTTCTATGATCTTATCTACTAGAAGCACGTCATTCTGATTATCTCACCTTTCATCATCAAATAGTTTGCAAACTGGGCAATAGTATTTTGCCATTGGAAAATTATTGCAAGCATTGTTTGAGCATTTTGGGCCAACTGGTTGAATTACCAAGCATTTCATGCACATCATTTTTGTAATAGCTTTTCTGCACGCATGACATAGAAAGAGTAAATAAATACAGTAAGAAAAACCAATAATGAAGAAGTACAAATATATATATAAAAAATTCAAACCTTTCCATAGAATGATCTGTGAACTCGTCATGACATTTTATGCATGTAAACAGTTTGCTGCAACATGCAGCAAGAAGTTTACAGTTGCGTTTGTAGTGCTTGCAGCCAAAAATTTCATTGAGAGAATCCTGATAAGATGGATACTGGCCAAAATCTTCTTCTCTGTCATTAGCTGCAGCACTCAACGTGTTTGAATTCTGTTGTGTTACAATCCAACGGCTTGAAACACACAATGCAAGCTCAGTCAATTGTGATATCAACAAGCAGAATAATTCCAATTATCAAGAAGAAGAAAAATTTTAGCATGCTTTCAAGAAAAGTTTTTAGCCTATAGAAACAACTTTCCAGGATATAGCAACTTAAGCTTAAATAGTTCAGCTGATTGGCTACTTTCAACACGTGTAAACATCAAATCTAAATGGAAAACAAATGTTGTACCTTGATGGTACCACGTATACTTAGGTCATGCCATTTAATTTGAAGATGCTACTTAGTTCCAACTTTGAGGAAATCAAAACCTGTTCCTTTGATGAACGACAAAGTTTGTTTTGTCCTAAGTGAAATCAATCTTGCAAGAGCTTTCGTATTTGATAGCTTGGATATCCCATTTACCCTACAGGATGCGGCTTTTCTAGTTTAAAATTTAGCAGATGCCACATGATTCATGGAACTGAGGACCGAATCCGATTGCAGAAATTACATTGAAATGTTGTAATCTTGTACAATATTCAGGGGCCTAAACATGCTAGAGTACATGTGCATAATAAACTTGAGACCTATCTAATTCTATAATCATTTCTTATCACATGCACAATCACAAACAGGATATATATACGTGTTGACCTAACTTTTGATGTCCCATAATTCCCTCAAGAACAGTTGATCAGAGAAAACAGGATAACTTTCACATGATTACCTCATTATCAGGCTCTGGATGATATGTGATTTCTTCTGAGAATCCAATGTAGGATCACGGGACACTCTTCTTATTGCAGTTTCCAGCTCCTTTTGATTTAATTCCAGTGGATGCTCATCATGGCACGCCTGAATGTTTTGTCCAGCTTTATCAGCTTGATCATCAACAATTTGCTGATCAGTTTTCTTATCAAGTTCTTCACCACAGTTGACTAGATCTTCATATTTATCATTGTTTTGACCGCCTTTGAAATCTTTTGAATATGGACATATATACCCAGAATGCTCAGCATTGTTATCAGAAACTTCTTTTCCTGAAAGTTTGCTTTCTCTGCATGTTTGTTCCCCCAGATACACTGAGACAACTTCCAGAGGGTTAGCAGCCAAGGAAGGAGGAAAAGAGGATTCTTCTTCATCCTTAGCAACACAATAATCTTTCATATCTTCCCACCATTCTCCTAACCATTGTTCAAAATTGGTATTTTTTGTAGCCCTACGCCACAGAGAAATCAGGGCATGTTGTTCATCTTGGGTTAAAGCTGACATCAACCAGGGTATCATTTCTTGTAGAGTTTCAGCTCTAGTTCTGCCAAGCATACACCCTAACATCTTTTCTTGTTCCTCAGTGGAAAAGTATTCTCCAAATAAAGGCCAAAGTTGAATTTCTTCACGATGAATATGCCCCGAGATTATTTTCTGCATAGACAGGCAAGTCTCATGGAGCTTCAAACACATCTGTCGATATTGTAGACTTCCCTCACCCGGTTTGTCTAGATCATCATGCAGGGTGGCAATGTCATTTAGCAGAGATGAAACTTTGGCAAAGTTTTCCTCCTCCAATTTATGGTCAATGGTGTAAGACTGGGTAATGTTTTTGAGTTTCCCCTTTGATTCTAGAGCCGGAAAGACAACCTCATCCTCTGAAGCACTGTGAATGTCATACAGAAACTTTAGAAGTTCAAAATGTCTACGTAAATCAGGGATAAACTGAAAGCTTTTGGCCATGTTAGCTGAAAGAAAGACAATGTAGTCCAGATCTCTTATGAGAGCTTTGTGAAAGCACACAAAATGATCCATTGGTCTTGATTCTAGAGCCAAAACTTTTTTGGCAATGCCATTCTCAGCAGGATGTCTCACAACCGAAAGAATATTGCTCCACATTTGAGGGGAGAATTTATGAAGAGTCATTCCACCAGATTCAAGCTTCTCATTGGTTTTGGAATGAGAAGATGAGGGGTTCCAGACCATCTTGTTATCTTTTACAGCAGGGCTCGGCTCAGATTCTATGGTGTTAAATATAGTGCAGGCTTGCATATCAAACTTTAAATTAGAAAACCCAACATCCTCCCCAATTCGATCAGATGTGAAATAGATTCCTCTGATAAAATTTTCTTGCAGATCTTTTGCAAACCTTTCCATGGATATTTTACCTAAATAACCCATGCGAACCCAACTATGCAACAGAATTAAAATTGGCTTGTTGCCTAAAGGGCATGCATCTGTCATGGCATCCAGCATGGTCTTGAACTGCTCATCCAATAAAGTAGCAGAAAACCAAAGAACAGCGCATTTTAACAACCCAAGAGGCATAGTTTTGAGACCTGCATATAACAGCCACAGCAGCATATTATGGCTGCACTTCTTGCCAATAGAAGAATATACCTGTATGTGACTAAAAACAAGGGTTAAATTCATAAAGGAGGAAACATATTTCTTACAAATAAAAGCAGGCAGAAGTTTATTGGTTGTCCAAAAAGATATGGTTTAGTACAGTCTGTTATCTGATGCCCTAATCTGCCAGTGCTAGAAATAAGTGGAGAAGATGAATATTATTTTCCAAGATTTTTTTTCCTGCATCTTCAGGGTTTTACATTAGAGGAACTGACACAACATCATACCTCTGTTTCTATATGTGTCAGGTTTTGGCTAATTCCTCTCACAAGCAACTCCACTTCCCTGCAAAGGCCCTTCAGGAAATTGCTTGGTTGTGCTCCATCTTGAAGCACTCCGTACAGCAAGAATTGAAGTCTTTCGACTTGACCTTTCTCCACAAGTCGTGTGCAAGATAATGGTAGGACATTCTTGGAAAGGTCATTTACCAGGGGAAAAAATATTTGATTCAATGCGTTGCTGCAGATTAAACTCTAGTATTAGAAAAATATCTGGTCATTGAAGATTAAAAGGTATTTCTGAACATGCGTCAAACCTTCAGCAAACAATTTTAGTTTTGTCACAATGCAAAAGAATATTTTCATCTCATTGTTTTTCATGAAAAGTTTCAGCAACTAAAAAGGCCTCTGAGGTAAATGGGGCATTTCAGCATAACTTCAATTCAGAAAGAATATATACTGCATGTGACAGTTACTACAGCTTCTCACGCTGCTGAGTAGAATATTTGAAGCAAAGGACTGACATACTTTTGGAACAGCCAACAACATCCAAACTTAAGCTTATCTTCTTGGTCTAATTGATTTAAAGAAGATATAACAATAACTTGGAGACCACTCCTGATTGAGCAGAATTGCTTATTGGGAACTATCAATTAATATGGAGGTTACCTGTAGGAGATAAGGACATCTAAAAGGAATTGTAGCTGAACTACTATGGAAGACAAGTTTGACATGTTGTTCGAGCTTCTTATTTGGTATAACTCATCCAGAACTTTCCTGAAATCTCTTGCAAGAGCAGTATTCCAAATGTAAATGCCATCAAGTGGGTTTGGTCCTATAGATGTGTAAAAGGAACAGAGCTTTGATTTTTCTTCTTCACCAAAATCAAATGTATTTGGATGTATCTTGAGTATCTCCATGGAGCTAACGTGTCCACTGTAAAATTGAGCTCCTTGTCCATAGACATTGCAGGCTTCAGGAGGAGAAGGTTTCTTATTATTAAGCCAAGAGATGACCACCTTTAAGATGGAAATCAATACATCAAGTTGGGATTATAGACTATGATCTTGAAGCTAAATGTTATTGTCTACCTCTTCAAGCACTTCCTCCTTGGATACAACAATCTTCATGCAATCCAGAAGGTCTAGTTGCTCATCTGGAGGAAGAGAACAAGCCATCCACGGCAGAAAATCTTCCAATAAAGCAATAGGAACACTGCAGATATACTGCCAAACAAGCTTAGCCTGTTCTTCAGAAGGGAATTGTCCTATCAGCAAAGGAAAAACCTGCAACCATTATGCGGCTAATTCAGTGTAGTTAAACTGCAGCTGCAAGAAACCAAGGAACTGAGATATTTGACTGTAATAAGACTAATTTACTGATAAGTTGATTAGTCAAAAACTTTCTGGGGGCTAAAAGAACCTTCAAATTAAAACTATTATTAAACTGCATCTAGTAGAGTAAAACAAGCGAAATAACACTCTGCAGAGGCCATCTATTCCTGCAACCCACAACTCAAACACTCTACCTTAGCTTTCATTTCATTTGTCTGAATATATAAGAATATTAAGCTGGATGTAGTTTAGCATAGATAAAGACAGCAGATCATGTTAAGATTTCTTTATGTTGGTTAAAATCAAGCATCGGCTCAGCTAAAAAGGGGTGAAGATGGTGTTTAAGTCTCATCAGTCACCCAGATATTGCATAATTCTCACATATCACTTCCTCCTGGTTTTCTTTAAAATTATGCACATACAAGTCAGTGCATTCAAAAATTGTTTAAATACCTTTCAGAGACAACATCATCATAACTCCAATGCAATATAAAATAATCTTCATCTCACCAATTATGTACTCCTTTAATTTTCATTTATACTAAAGAACATGTTTTAATTACTGTTTAATTTTGATGGTCTTTCCTATTTTATGGCTTACTTGATAAAGTTGTGTGCTCTCATATATGTTTTCAGATACAGCTAGGTTGCATCATGTCGAGTATCCCACAAAGTTCTGCATGAAGTGGACCATTAGCAAGTTGTAATGGGGTTTATCTTAGCCAAAGATAGCCTAAATTTTCTATTTTATCTCTGCTATGGATCTCAAGGAGCATGGGGAGAGAGTAGTGAAACATATGTTCTTCTTTTTTTCTTGTTTCAAGTCCTAACTGAGTTTGGAGCTCTCTTTGATGGGAGACAACAAAGAGAATGTCTCGTTATCCTTCTTAAATCTAGCCATGCTGAAGAAATTTCGTATGACCTTGCCAATCTTTTGGTTAGAATGGTATCGATTGCGAGTCATTTTGCGTGACTATGCTTATGGTTTAATAATTTCCAGAAATTCAAAATGTAGGAGTATCATAGTGGAAGGAAAGGAAAAGAAAAAGGAAAGAGCAAGGAGAAACAGAATCCAGTTGATCAAAGCATAAAAATCAGAGAAGTAACAACATGTAAATTGGAAGTATACAAAGGAGAAGTAGTAAATACCAATTTTTCTTCCTTCAGCATATGCTCGCAGATAGCGGACTTTATAGAGCTGATGCAGAAGATGAGTTTTTGAAACAGATGGGTAAAATCTTCACACTCTTTTCTTAAAAGATCCAAGCACTGGACTGTGGAGCAGAAGTCATCATTGATGCACTTATGTTCTAATGCAGATGTAGTCACCACGTTCTTTACTTTGCTATTTAGAGCTGGAAATACAATCTGCCAAAAATTTCAGATAAAAATTTCCACAGTAATTGATGAACTCAACGTTTAACAAATTTATTTCTTGCATGATAAGGAAAAAGAATAGAAACAGATCAAGTTGATCAGGAGAATCTCACCAGCTTAGTGCTAATAAAGTAAAAGAAAGGGAAATGTACTCATTATTTGATGCTTGCTGTATCTAGCTCAATATATTTCCAGTCAAAATTGTGTTCAGCTTCTCAGTAAGACAATACATTTCAGGACAGATCTAAAATGTTTTGGTAAATTTTCTTCCAATATTTCACAAGTGAGCAAAACACTGAAATAGTCTAAATCCTCTGGGGAAACTTTGGTGCCTCAGTAAGTTTGGTACATAGGTTAGGAATGAGGACTAAATGCGTAATAGAGGACGCCCTGATGCTATCCTTTGACGTTATATTGAAGATGGTTTCAAATCTTCCATGTTGTTACGATTTCCTTGTACCGGCTACGCCAATCATTCTATTACCAGGTTAAGGAATTGAAGTTCGTTCGGCGAGTATTGTCATATAGAAGCCAGTTTCGAGGACTCTCGAGGGAAGCCTTAAGCAAACCCTGCGTCTTAATTGCCAATGATGTGAGAATTTCTGCCTAATGACCTGATGGCATTTCTGATAAAATAACAGGGAAGGAGCTGAAGCAACTTAATTGGCATTTTTGATAGTACATCAAATTGCCCCCCCTGGGATCCTAAACATTGATTCTCCATCACCAAAAACTAAAGTTTTAATCTTTACAGCTACTACCAAAATCAAGCATAGTCACCACATTTTCACCTCAATCCTGTCTAAAGAACCAAAACCCTGTGCTACAATCACATCCGACATTCTTATGAAGTAATGATACAACAACCAAAAAGGGAAAACAACACACGCCATTTGTTCAATGACAACAAATCCCACAATATAATTTTGCTCAATAAAAAGAAACGAGAAAAGAAATTAATAGAAACACCTCCTCAGTCCTCACCTCATCTTCCGCTGCAGCGTGGTACTTATAAACAAGCTTAAAGAAGTCAAACCTCCGGCCAAGATCATCCACAAACTGGCGATCAGGGGACCCAATGTCAGCCACCTCCAGGGCGGAGCGGTGGAGCTGCTCAAGCTCCCTGACAAAAGCCTTGTGAGAAAGAACAAAGAAAAGAATAGGTGCATCAACCAGTTTCGCACCATCCAGGCAAGGTAATAAGGCCTCTGTTACTGTTATTGCATCCTCCTCCCCATCCTCCTTTTCGGGTTCTTCGCCGGCCATTGACTAAAACAGTTCCACCTCCACAGCCACCACCTATCATTAATGGTGAAAGGGGCCAAAGGGGAAGCTCAATCATCAAAGTTCGAGTTACTTATACTATTTGATTGATTGATTGATTGATTGATGCCACTGTCTTTCTTTGCCTGTTGGTTCGAGGGAGGCCTGTTTCTTGCCACTTCGATGTTCAAACTTCAAACCGTGCTCGGCCTTTTTTAATGCTCTGTTCAAACAACTACTAATCTAATAGTAGTAATGGAGTAGGGGTGGAATTTGCACTTATCTAATAAATATTACTGTATTATGACAAACTTATTTAACTAGTGTGAATGGTCCACATAATTAGCATAATCTGTGAAAAAAAAAATTGAATATTATTCAACTGGCATCATAAATATAATTTTTCAATCATTTTTTTTAATGAAAGAATTGTGAAAAATGCCCCTAGGCATTTGTGGTGTTCTGCAAGTTACTCCCTCCGTCCCACTTTAATAGTCCTGTATTTCTTTTTCATCTGTTCCAAACTGTAATCTACTTTCCAATTGAAGAATGTAGTTGTATTTTAATTTTTTTAAAATACCCTTATTCAATGTAAGCAGTTGTTACTATAAACTTACCCCATTTAACGAGAGTTGATTCTTTTTTTACTATCAATTCAAGTTCCCATAAAGTTATACCATATTTAATGTGAGGGTATTTTAGAAAAATAACAATTTAAATTTACTTTTTCAATAAAATTAACTACTTTTTTTTAAATTGTGTGTAAAAAGAAACAGGACTATTGATAGTGGGACGGGGAGAATATTTCCTAACATTTTCTTTTTGACAATTCATCCCATTAACTCGTAGTAGTAGTAATAATGGTGACAGTTAACGGGTAAAGGACAATAGTATCACTGGTAAAAAAAATGAAATGACCACATACCATTTCCCAGCCGCTCTAAACTTGTCGGCATTCTGTTTGGCAGTATTTTGCTGTGGGGTGACATAGGATTAGCGTGGGAGGGATTAAAGAAAGATGGGCACGCCTGCACCAATGGATTCTTGCCACATCAATGTCCACTGCACTTAGTTTTGCGGTGAAAGTTCCCCACTGTTTTAATCTAAGCCGTGCACACACGCTCCAGTCATTTCCGTTTTCCACCTTCGTTTGGGGAAACATAAATTATGCGGAGGAGATTATCAGAATAGGATCAATATGACAATTTTAACATTTCACTCAACTGTTTCTTCAAAATTATATGGACAAGCAATAGTAAATATTTGATAATTAATGTTAATATTTTGTTCATTATCAAGATGTGAACTTTCTTTTTTAAAACAAGGACGGAAAAAGAACAAAAAGAAAGGGAGGTGATAAAAGAGCTAAACATAAGTTTTTATGCTAACTTGATAAACACAGGTAATATAATTTAGATTGATGCCATTTCACTAATTTTTCTGTAAATTGTTTGGTTTATTATTTGAACAAACACAAGAGACCTGAGATTTTAAATGAGTGATTAATTAGAAAAGTTTAAAATCAATAGCATTTCGTTAATTTTAGGATTTTTGTTATTACAGAGGAGGTAATCATTAATTTCTTCTATTTTTATTTACAAGACAAGACTAATTGTTTCAGATAATGCGTGTCTGAATAAGAATATCCTTGTGAACAAAAATAAAATTGACAATTTGGGCAAAGCAAAAGCAACAAGGGAAAATAGGAATATAAATGATAAGATTTTTGTAAGTAATGTTGAAAATATGTATTTGAGTTATATATGGATTCTTTGACAAAATTTGTACTAGCGAACAGCATTATACATAATGACGTCCAAAATTAATAAAATGCAAGTTTCACAGTATGAATAAAATATATAATATTCAAGTCTATCAATGAGAAAATTGTTCTTGGCTAGTTAATTAGATAATGTCTGTCAAAAGCATTGATTCAGCTAGTATACTTTTTAATCAATTTGCAAATCTTCTTAATTAACTAAATAACATTAGATCAATTCCCCTCAAAATTGAAAGAATTTTCATTGGATTCTGAGCGTTGCACCAATTGAAAAAATTGCCTTTTATTTAAATGGTGTAATCCTTTTATCTTGAATCTTGTACTACATCTCAAGCAAAGCTAGTATTTTGACGGTGACCTTGAGAAATATATAACTCGATTTGATTGTAACCCTCAAAATGTGAGCAATGGATCATATGACAGGAATTATGAAGGAATTATCAAAAAAAAAAAAAAAAAAGAATGATGGAGAGTTAGAGGGGCGTGGGTGGAGCGTCCAAGTAACATGCTCCTCTGGCAAGTGGAACTTGAAGTAAGAATTAGAGCAGAAATTCAGATAGTTAAAGCTCTCCTGACCGTATGTGCAGAAATTCAGAACTCCTGACTTGGGACTTGAGAGTTAGGTTTAACTACTTATTTCTAAATTTCTGAAAAAAAAAAAAAAAAAAAAAAAAGCTCTCCTGACCGTATGTGCACCTCACAACAGGCACGCGCAATCGTCGCATATGCGCGTTCTGGCACGTGTCCCATATACTTTAACTTTCACCTTCCAATTTTGCTTCTTATAATTATTATGACCTTCTTCTCAATTAATACAACTTTAAAGCAAATACTTGGACTTTGACCGTCTACTAATTTATTAGTAGTTCGTTAAAGCAGCTGACTCTTATTTCTGGTTAATAAGAAGCAAGAACAAAGTCAACGTAATAATTAAGTCAAATTAAATACAAGAAAGGGGAAGTACAAACAACTTGGAGTATCTTTTTAGTTAATATTGCTTAATATTAGACTTTTACATATCTTTATAAAAATTTACATGAGAGAAATCTCATGGTTCACATTAGTCTAGTTAAAAAATACTACAATTTTGACTGCAATCATTCGTTATGCTATTAACAATCAAACACTGTGTAAAATCATCCGTTTCTAGATTTATTCATCATCTAATCGAGGTACGTTAATTCGATAATTGCTGAATATCAACACTGGATTAAGTTTTGAATAACGTCTGAATGCAACGAAATGATAAATACAAAAGGACCGCCTTTAAATGAAAACCTAAATGTAAATTACATTCACTAAACACCTCTCATCGAACATCTATTGAAAAAACTCGTGAAGTAAAGTTGAACGTCGATCGCAATTAAACTACTCGATACTTTAAAATAGGTGCTCACAATGTGTCACGAACTTGTCGTATTACGTTAGGGGTTCTGTGATTACGCCCCATGGTCATTGTCATCGTGATATTCATATCAGATTTGCCAATTTAAATATTTATAAGCCGTACAAAATCTAAAACCGTGATGATCTCTCGAGTTTTATTATGATAACCATGCTTTGTAGTTTATTCAGCTCCACGCATGCTGATGGAATAATAATTAGTGATCACTGGCAGAAACAAATTAAGGGGTGGGGCAGCGACAGGCAGCTGCCCCGGAGACTCCAGAAATATATTCCCTTAAAAATTACTAATAGTTATCTTTTATAGCGTTGTAAAAATTAAATTTTGCTCCTCCCAAAATTGTCGAGATCATTTATGTTAGCTTAAAAGTTAAAAGTTTTCACTTATATACCTGTAAATATTAGACTCTACACTGAAATATTCCGCAAAAATGTAAGGTTGCCCGGCCCCTTAATATATTTTTTTTCCCCTGATCATTAGTTTTGCTCCCTCAAACTCCAACCTCTGGTTCTGCCAGCATTGCTGTGAACGATCCAAATCATCATATATACTTGGATAGAGGATTATTTGTCAAAATTTATTTGCTTACATGTGAGAACCCTAACTTCCCTCAATTTTCTTGGCCTTTGGCTTACTTTCTTTGCCCCATTTTAGTGAAAATTTGTCAACCCCTTTTGGTTTAAAGTATGAAAGGTCGTGGATATGTGCAATCATGTATGAGATATGTATGGATGTGTATGTGGTAGAAATACGTTTGAGCACGACAATCGAATTCGGAAGAAAAAAAAAAAAAGAAAAAATTTTGGAAAGCTGAAGTGGCCAAATCCGGCCGGAAATCCGGCCAGTTTCTGGCCGGATAGCTGGCCGGATTGCCCTGCGTTTTTGAAAAAAAAAATGTTTCCTCTCGGCCTCATATCCGGCCAGGAATCCGGCCAGAATCCGGCCGGATTCTGATGTGACACAGCCGGTCAGCAGCTTTGACCGGCTGTTTCTTCCTTCTTATCCCCTTGGTTCACCAAAATATCTTCATTTCCTCTTCTTGTCCAGCCGTGAGCTTTGAGAGCAAAGAGAGAAAAACTCTTCAATCTCCATCTTTGATTTTTGCTTCAATCTTGAAACTTCACCAATGGATTTTTAATTCCCTCCATACAAGTGATCTTCTTGGAAGGTTAAAGCTTTTGGGTGGAGTGTTTTGGCAAGGGAAGCTTTGAATTGCTAGTCTTCTTGAGTTGTGAGGTAAGATGCTTAAGAAAGTTCTCTTTTACATTGATAATGGTTAAGTTGTGAATTATAAGGGTTGGAAATGTCATTTTGTGAGTGATATTGTGATTTGGGTTGATTTATGGTGACATTTTATTTTTTTTATTATGATTTTTCTATTTGAATTTGATGTTGTCTATGTGGCCATGTAAGATGAAGGGGAATGATATAGAATGAGGCTAGTTAATGTAAATGATGGTTTAATGCAAGGAATTCTTGTTTGAAAGGAAATTTGGAAAAGTTAGGGTGTCACACCCTTCAATTCTGGCCGGCCCTGTCTAGCATAGTTAGAGGCCGAATTGGCCTTTGCTTAAAACATGAAAGTTGTAGGTATTGATGTGTTAGAGATGCCTGTAAAATTTCAGGCCAATCGGAGTAATGTAGAGTGAGAAAAGTCGAATTTACCCCTGCTGCTCTGGTTTCATCCGAACTTGGGAATTGTTGCAGTAATTAGCTATTTTGGCTAGGAAAACTTCTGAACTGGTTGTAGAGGTCTTCTAATGAAATGTAGCCTGATGTCCTAGCTATCATTTGGCTTTGGAATCAATGGATTTGGACCTAAGTAGACCGAATTATAGTTCGTTAACCAGAACGTGGTTTGTCCACCTGTATTTTGCAGTTCTGAACTAGTGTCTTGTATTTTTGACCTAGTTTCACTACAAACTGGATTAAGTGACCTTCTACATTGTTGTAGCCCTGCCTCTTAGCTTCGAAACGGTGGGTCTTACACCCTAAACCAATAATCGTAGTGCCTTTAGTGCTATTTCCGCAAAAT